CTTGAAGTCTTGACTTGGTCTCAACCTCTTGAAGTCTTGACTTGGTCTCAACCTCTTAAAGTCTTGTTATTGACTTGGTCTCAACCTCTTAAGGTCTTGACTTGGTCTTAAAGTCTTGGTCTTGACTTGGTCTCAACCTCTTAAAGCTTGGTCTTGACTTGGTCTCGACCTCTTGAAGTCTTGACTTGGTCTCGACCTCTTAAAGTCTTGGTCTTGACTTGGTCTCGACCTCTTAAGGTCTTGACTTGGTCTCAACCTCTTAAAGTCTTGGTCTTGACTTGGTCTCGACCTCTTAAGGTCTTGACTTGGTCTCAACCTCTTAAAGTCTTGGTATTGACTTGGTCTCGACCTCTTAAGGTCTTGACTTGGTCTCGACCTCTTAAAGTCTTGGTCTTGACTTGGTCTCAACCTCTTAAAGTCTTGGTCTTGACTTGGTCTCGACCTCTTAAAGTCTTGGTCTTGACTTGGTCTCGACCTCTTAAGGTCTTGACTTGGTCTCGACCTCTTAAGGTCTTGACTTGGTCTCGACCTCTTAAACTCTTGGTCTTGACTTTTGGGTTAAATGCAGGGAACACATTTCACTGTGTGCTGTGTGCTCTGCATGTGTGACCATGGGTTTCATCCCTCCCAATTATATTCTAATTATATTCTATCGTCCCCTCTCTGTCCCCTTTTCAAGTGTAGATGCATTTATCTAATAAGACAAGAAACATCAAACAAGAAATCCTTGAATCTAGTCTAATTTAGGACGTAGGATGGCAAAAAACCAAATCATTGTAACTGTAAAAAAGCATTTAACTTCCTTTTGATTAAGTTTAATTGGCAGCAGTTTGTGATTGACATCTAAGACACTGAAGTGAAATAACTTCTTGTTTACTGAAAAGTATTCATACTGCGTAGCAACCCCTGGAAGATCTGAGAAACGTCCCGTCTTCTGCAGAGTGTGTGAGGAACCGTTTTGACGTGTTTGTGTGTGTGACGCAGCGATCACCTCAGGTGGCCCAGCAGCTTGTTGGGCCTTAATTAGAAAACAAAAAAAATATTAAGACTGGAACATTGGCTCGTTGTTTTTATATGTCGAGTCATGTTGATGTGACCTTTAGGAAGAGGACATGGGAAAGTTTGTGCGTGTGTAAATATATAAAAGGTATATGTGTGTTTTTATACCCAAACAACTCTCACACAGACCTTTTGTATTTACTGTGGAGTTTAAGGTCAGCATCTAACAACCTTTGTTCCATTATTTGGCAAAAACTTGTATAGATTATTACACTTAAAGGAGCTTTACTAGATTACAGTAAGACTCATTTATTTAAGTACGTTCTATTCTTATTTTATATATTTGCTTATTTTTCAGCGTTGTTGTTAACACTTTTTCTAGTCTAAATCTCTTCCTGTCACCTTCACATGATTTAAGTACCAACGTTATGATAAGCGTGTGATTAATGTTGGGGTTTATTTTGCAACTCAAAGGGAAATTGTAGAGTTTTTACACGTCAAGTATTTTAGCTTAAAAGACTTAAAGCTGTGTATATGCATTATGTTTTTACAGTTATATTTATCTACCATAATGCAGGTTTTAAAGGATTACATACACACTTTTTGAATGTTTCAGAACCATGGACAGCGACAGAAGCTTTGTCAATTAGTAGTTTTTTTAATCGGCCAGCAGAAAATGTAGATTTTGCACACTTCTTTCATCTTCATTAAGTAAAAGAAAGACTTCCCATCTTGCTTGGTCTCAACCTTTAAGTCGTCTGACTCCTTGGTNATAAGCGTGTGATTAATGTTGGGGTTTATTTTGCAACTCAAAGGGAAATTGTAGAGTTTTTACACGTCAAGTATTTTAGCTTAAAAGACTTAAAGCTGTGTATATACATTATATTTTTACGGTTATATTTATCTACCATACACACTTTTTTAATGTTTCAGAACCATGGACAGCGACAGAAGCTTTGTCAATTAGTATTTTTTTTTTATCAGCCAGCAGAAAATGTAGATTTTGCACACTTTTTTCATCTTCATTAAGTAAAAGAAAGACTTCCCATACCCCAAAATGACTCTTATATACTGTATCTACAGGGGGCTGATGAAGATGTCCATCACTACCAATAACTCAACCATTATTATTTGGCCATGTGCTGATATCTTTGGCTCTAAAACGTCATTGTTTTTGGAAAGAAACTCCACACCACCTTGAGCTTGAACACATCACCATCTCTCACTCCACACACCTGCAGGTTAACGGTTCTCTGAGGGAAGGTGTTGGAGGGCTGAACCTGAACTCAGCACGGGGCAGGAAGTTCTAATGTGTATCTGCAGATGTTTTCTATCCAAACTCAGAAACTTCTCACCAAAAGTGTGAAGCATTCAGAGAGAAATCTGATGTGTGCTATAAGGACATTGAAAACCTTTTAAAAATTGCATTTAAGTGCAAAATACTGGGATTTCCTTCAGACAGCAGCACAATATTTTCTTCACACGCACTTGTTCAGGAGACTTTTTCGAAAAGGTGTGACGAGTTCCTAATTTTCTCATGATGCCTTTTCACTTGACACCTGAGAGCAGGTTTTGCCAAAGAGCTGTGAAACAGACGTCTTTCATTGAAGTAATTGGGATCTGAAGAACAAGTTTTGTTTTATATTCCTGAAAGACAACTGAGAGGTTTAATAAACCCTACTCAATGTTCTCCCTATTTGAAATACAATGGACCTTGAAGAGTATAATCACCTGCTGCAGATTTGTGATTGTAACTTGTAACTGCTTGTTACATCAGCTTTCTCTTAAATATTCAGTGTTTTCAGGCCTTTTTTCAAACTCAGGTTGTTAAGAGCTACTTTTAGAATGTGGATTTTGTTTTAACATAATAGAAAAGTGACTCATTACAGTGCCCATTCAAATACAGTATCTGTTCCTTGTTCACAGGACTACCCAGACGCCCTCATCTCAAATTACTATGTAAGTGTTTCCTGTAAATAAACCATTTTACTGACTGAAATGTCCCCTCGGCTTCATGTTGTGCATCAGATTGTCTTTTCAATATTTTCTGTTTATGTTTTTCAGCTTTGGCCCGCAGTCCAGATGGCCAATTTCTACTTCATTCCACTTCACCACAGGTCAGAGTTCATATATATGTTATCATACAATGGGACTATTCAATGCATTTAGTGCTGCTGAGGTGTTTCTTTTCAGTGGTTTGCATGTCATGTTCATTTGTTCTGTTTTAACTTGTTATTTCTGCACGGATAAAGATTAAACTAAACTAATGGTATTAGCATTAGATTCAAGTGGGGGCTGTGTTGCTTCTTACTCAAACATCTCTAATCATTCTTGAGCGTTGTAAAGTCCAAAATAGGATTTATTATAAAAAAAACACCCACTTTTTTCATTGGATAAATCACTTTTTTTTCAAATTGTGGATTTTGTGTGGGATATTTCTTGTTTTGGTTTTTAAAAAATCTTGATAGAAGCTTTGAACTTCAAAAATATATATGTTAAAGCCCTAAAATCTCATAAGAAGAAGCATTATGATTGTCTTTAAGTCTGTCTTGGTGAACATATCAGACTCTTTTGTTATTTGCCTCTATTTAAATCATATCTCCTTTCAGGATGGCTGTGGTGCAGATAGTTGCTGTCGCCTGGAACTCCTATCTGACCTGGAAGGTGAACAAGATGTGAACCACAAGTCCAGCTGTCTACATGATGATGATGATGATGATGATGATGATGATGATGATGATGATGATGATACACTCATTTGTAGTGTGTCTGTGTGCTTGTGCGTGTGACGTGGTCTAACTTAGTTCTGCTGATATTTCCAAAGTGTAAAACTGTGACTGACTCATT